TATATCCAATGACATATCTCTTCTAGAGTTATACCCATCGACATATGCTCAGCTTATTATTATTATTATTTCCATTCTTTATCCTCGCTTTGCGGGATAAGTATCTGAGGTGGGAGACCAGAAGTCCAGCCACTTCAGAGTAATATCTATTACTTTTTAGATATTTAAAAACTTTCGAACAATACGTGCCGTATCCAAGAGAACTGAGTGTTGAGCCTCTTTCAGCACTTCAAGAGATAATTTTAATCCCATCGTGCCTGCCACTGTTGTCTTTAGTATCAATCCATTGGAGGATATTATAATTGGAGTGGTGGTGACGTTCCCCAAATGATACAATTCCTTCAGTTCGATTGCCAGTTCCTGGTATTTTCTCAGTTTTTCTCCAACAGTGGAGCTTATATTATTATCATTGGGGATCCCGACATCAATAAGCTCTGGTCTTTTCTCTCTCATGTCTATCAGAAGGATGTCTGGTTTATTGTGACGCACAGTATGGTCAGTTATAATCGATTCATCCCAGTATAGCTTGAGACTACCTTTTTGTAGGAGTTTATTTGGGTGGTACTTATAATATGGAGTTTTGTCATCTAACAAGTTGAACTTCACCGCCAGAGCCTGATGAAAAATTCTAGCCACATTGTTATGCCTCAGGAGATACTCGGTGCCAGCCAACACTCCACACCCACCTGTGACATGTTGGATTGATTCCAGCGTCGCTGAGCATAATCGACATTTATCTGTAGTTGTTGCGTCTTTAAGAACATGCCTTCTATATGATCTAGTAGCAATAACTTGGTCTTGGATGGGGAGCAGAAATCCTTCTGTCTCGGAGAATATCTTTCCAGCTTTCAGCCATTCAATGGATATTTCTTTGTCAATTGAGCTATCATTTAATTTGCTGTAGAATCTTCCATGCAGAGATTTATTTTTCCATTCTGTCAAGCGTTCGTTTTCTGACACGATTGCAGAAACCTCACGATTGCTCAGGTTAAGTGCGGTTAGACCATAATCCAATCTTGAGGTTGCGAGGTAAACCTCAGTTGTTTTTGTAAGAAAGTATGGGCATAGGGCCGTTTCCTGCTTGCGGCAAGCTTCTTCGATATTTAGCAAACCACGTCCTCCTTCTTTCCTAGGCAAATACAGACGAGCTTTGGATGATATTGGATGGTTAGCCCGTTCTTGTGTGAGAGTTGTTCTCACAAGGCGGTCGATCTCCTGTAGGCTGGTGTTTGACCAGTGCAATATGCCGAAACTATAACCGAGAGCAGGTATTGCCCAGGTGTTAATAGCCTTGATTTTTTGTTTCCAGGTTAGGTGGGTTTTGAGCACTTTCCGCAATCTAATTTTGAACATTGTCAGAAGGTCTTGTTGCATGTCTTTTCTTGCAATTTTAAGATGTTGCTGCATTCCCAGATATTTATATAACCTATTGTGTTCAAGCTCCCTGATGTACTCTTTTTCATTGAATAGAATATTCTGCATACTAACCACTTTTCCTTTGGTTACATGGAGCACCGCACATTTATCCAGACCGAGTGACATGCCTACATCACTACTAAAAGATGAAACGGCTTCAACCATACTTTGTAATTGGTCTTTGTTTTTCGCATATAGTTTGAGGTCATCCATGTTTATTATTATTATTATCTCTTTATTTTCCACATATACAATGGTGTTTAAATTATGTAATAGTTGGGGACCTATTAGATCAGCCAAAAATTACATTTGTATATTTTCTTAATTATTTATGAGCTTCCTGACAATATTTGCTGTTCCCAACAACACCGCTTGCTGCATTCTTTCGATCGTCTGAGATGGTAGTTCTAGTTGTCGCAGAGAAGATACAGTTTCTTCCGGTATCAGTCCGTTGCACGAGATTACAATTGGCAGAATTCGGGTTTCCTTTAAATGATATAATTGTTTGATCTCTTCAGCCAATTCTACATACTTTCTCTTTTTTTCCGCTACTACCTTGTGTAAGTTATCATCAGAAGGAACTCCAATCTCTATGATAAACGCAGATTGCTTACCTTTATCTATTATAAGAATGTCTGGTCTATTGTGGGGGATGGTGTGATCCGTCAGGATCGGTTGATCCCAGAACACCTTGACATTAAGACATGGAGTTAATTGATTCTGGATGGTATTTATAATACGGACAATACTTATCGACGAGTTCCATTTTCTGAGCCATAGCTTGATGCACTACCTTAGCTGTATTGTTGTGTCTCTGCAAGTATTCCTTACCCAAAAGTATTGTGCATCCCGATGTTACATGTTGAATTGATTCGTTATTATTATTATTATTATTATTAAACAGCCTCAAGGTAGTGCCCTTGGTCCTATCCTTTACACAGTTTATACAGCTGACATCCCAACCCATCCTGACACTGTCATCACCACATATGCTGATGATACATGTATCCTATCTGTTAATAATGATCCATCATCTGCATCCCAAACTCTCCAATCTTATATCACAAACCTTGAAGAATGGTGTGAAAACGGGAGAATTAAAATAAATTCCAATAAATCCCATCAAATTATCTTTACCCTGTGTTGCAAACCCATGACCTCCTGTCCTACAGTATCCTTTAATAATTCCCCTCTTATCCCAGTTGAACAAATCCGTTACCTATGACTCCACCTGGACAAACGAATCATATGTAATCCTCAAACTGAAACGACAAGAAACTGTTCGACGTTTCCGACTACTACAACACTTACTAGACAAACGCTCTAAGCTTTCAATCAATTACAAACGACTCATATATATGACAATAATAAGACCTATTTGGACTTATAGAATTGACCTTTGGGGCTCCACTAAATCATCAAATTCCTCTTGTTTCCAATCCTTACAATCCAAAATCCTCAACGCTCCTTACTTTGTCACAAATAAAATCATCCATAAAGACCTTAATGTTCCATATGTTTCCGATTTGGCCCAATCCAGATACCTATCCTTCCATAACAAACTCCAGAACCATCCGAACCCTCTCGTTTCAAACCTTGCTTCATCCTCGATCCCTGATAACCCTCTGAGGCGTCTGAAAAAAAGATGGCCTTGTGATCTATTTATGTAAATATATTATTAGAGTGCTACCAATCGGTAGTTTCTGAACAAGCGTTTTCATGTGATTGTATTATTACTGTGTGCACTTTTATTAGTTGTATTTTTTTTTTATAATATAGTTGGTTGTAAATATCAATGAAAAAAAAATTATTAAACAGCCTTTAAACAGTAATATTGTGGCAGAATTTTTCCTTTCAAGTTGTTGATGTTATTCGGTTTTCGCATGATGAAAATACTATCTATCTGTTTGGTTTGCCGGTCGGGAAAGCAGGTATAGGATGCCTCGTGAGAAGAACATGGATTTCCGAAACTATTAAATTTAATATATATTATAACTCTGTGTAAAAATAAATATGTGATAAATAAAGAAGTATATCTCATCATAATTTTATGGGGCTATTATTGTATTCCTTATCACTCCTGTAATTACAAGTTTATGCATTTTTAAAGGCTTTTATTTTGATGCAAATATTTTTATTTAGACCAGTAAATATGCCTTAATATTAATATTTAATTTTGAATTAATACATACCTTTACATGAATATAACAATATTCTTTATTACACTTGTAAATACAACTATATTCGTTATATTTACAGGAATGAATACGATAGCAAATATATGTATTTAGACTTGTAAATTAAAAAAAAATATAAATATTTTTTAAATAAAGAAGAATATTTATCGCTAATTTTATGAGAATATAACAATATTCTCATAAACTATCACATAGTTAAATATAATTATGGGGGAATGAGGAGACAAATATGCCCATCTCTGATGTGTAAGAGTGGGTTTTACTCGATTGAGTCTCTCAGTCTGCTGTTTATATCAGGCAGACTGAATGGAAACTAACAAAAACTATTAAAGAATATTTCCTTGGGGTAGGCCACACATCTCATTTCAAGAAGCATTTTGGAATTTTTTCTTTCTAAAATAAACATAGTATGGCAAAAGTCCTACACTCTGCATTTAAAGGGAAAAGAATGGATATTTTTTGAGAAAAAAAAAAACAACTGAAAAATAATGTATTAAGCTCGAATGCCAATAATACTCAATTTTGAGGATTCTTTGCTCATTAAATTAGTAGCGGTTAACAAAAACAAGACTTAATGTTAAGGGAGTGGAGAAAGCCCATCTGGACAATAGTTTTATTTTAATTTTTACTCCTCATCCGACAAGCAGAAGAGGAGGACCGTAATAAATGATGTGACAAATAGTGTTTAATTAATGCATTTAATTCTTAAGTTTTATTCATTTTAAAGAGTGTTTTGTAAATTTTGCTTTTTATAATATTATTGTTGTTAAATTTTATATTTTACTTAGCCTGATGAAGGATCTGTAATCCAGTAGGTGGAAAAATTGCAAATAATCCATGATTGTAAAAAAACATAACTTACTTTAATTGAATTTTTTTTTCTATTTCTTCTAGATAAATAAAGGCAATGTCTACTTACGATAGAAGAAAATTTCATCTAGTTTACTTTGAAACAATTGTCAGTCACTAAATTTAAATATTTTTTAGTTATCTGTTTCTAATCAACAAAAAATGTAATTGACCGCATCGCCAACCAACTTATCTTTCAATTGAGATCTGTGATCAAAGATATCTCCAAGACTATTTACTTAATTTGCAACTCTGTGCTTGCCAGCCTTGTAAAGGTTTATAGCTTAAAGTGAAACGTTGAAACACTTTAAAAATAAGTTTTTAGTTATTGTGGTTTTTCTTTTTTGACCACATTCCTTAAATTACAACTATAATTAACTGTATTTCCTCTGTTATCTTTTATTTAATTTTCATAAATATTCAAGGATGTAATTTTTTAGCATGACATGTTAAAATATTAATTTAATTTCACCTTGTACAGTAACATTATTATGTATCAATTTAGTAATGCTCAATTTTATTTTTTTTTTTTTTTAGACGAGATCACAAAAGAATGGAAGAAAAGAAAAAATGAATTACTTTATATTGTATGTTTTTTTTTAAATAAAAACTAATTTTAAAATTTAATTAATTAGTCCTTATTAATTTGTTTTAATAAGGAATTATTTATGCAACTTTCACCGTCAAGTTATAGGTAAGAAATACCTTTCACACTGACATTGTAATTCATGTTTCACTCTATTGGATGGGCCCTAACTAAAGCATAAAATGAAAAATTATTTCATTCTATTTATAATATTGAATTATTATGAGGTATATGAATAAAATTAAGTAACAGTTTACTCTCCCAACAAATTTTTACTTTATTTTTATGACGTTTTGGGATCACTTTATTATCCCATCTTCAGACTAGAAATAAATAAACATTTTTGTTATTTATATTTATATATTATCATTACATTATTTTTATAACTTATAACAGATTTGCCAATCTTACCCGTATCTCACCCTTCTATCATCTAATTTTTTTTAAAAAAGAATTTGTCATAATTTTTATTTTTGTAAATCATCCCTAAAAGTGCAATAAGTTTATGTGTTATATTATTATTTTTATGTAAGTAGCATAGATTCTGTAACAAATTTATTTACCTTAATTATATTGTGGAGCCCTCTAGGGAGAGCCTAGTCAGACACTGAACCAAACCTTGAACCAAGGATCAAATTCCAAGAAGTTTTATTTATTTTTATATATTTACTAATAACTTGTTTATTGAAAAATATTACAATCTGTCTCAAAGGACATTTATAATAGTGTTCAGAGATCACATTCACACTCTATTTACAATAAATAAAAATAAATTATACAGAAAAATAATATATTTATATATATATATATATATATATATATATATATATATATATATATTATGTATATAATATATATTATATATATATATTTATATATATATATATATATATATATATATATATTATTTTTCTGTATAATTTATGTATATATATATAATTTTATATATATATATATATATATATATATATATATATATATATATATATATATACAATAAATGAGAATAAAATAACCTAAAAATAAATAAATAAAAAAGAACACATACATACCTATATAAACTATTTACAATCAGGTGAGGGAACTCTGAGCCAGACTTGCCCTTCCAACTGTGGAGGGAAAAGCATGACTCCAAAAGATCCCTGCAATACTCTCTCAACTGTGTCACTGGGGCTAAACCCAGTGGAGATTGAGGGAGAGTGATTTAGCCACATACACTCATGTCGTGAGTGGAGAATCTGGCCATTGCCAGAACTCCAATATTTACAACCTATAAAAGATCACGGGGCCATTGCCCTTTTAACCTTCTTGGAGGATTATAGGGATGGGTGGTGCTGGATAGGGATTGTGCAAGGAGATTCGGATGATAGTTAAGATTCTGATGAAATTTGGAGAATTTCCCTGGAATAAGGTCTAGGACAAATGGGATATTAAGGTCATGGTGTAATGTTTTGTTGGTTACATAGAAATTAGCATCGACTATTGTTCGAAGGACTTTGGACTGGAAGGTTTGTATGCGTTTGATGTTAGAAAATTTTGCTGTCCCCCACAGTTCAAGTCCGTATGTCCAAGTAGGTATTGTTTTGTAGATAAGTATTTTATTTTCAATAGAAAGTTTAGATTTTCTATTCATACAATTCATTACAGAACCTATGCTACTTATATGTGTTATATTATTATTTTATATAAGTAACATAGATTTTGTAATGAATTTATTTAACTTAATTATATGGTGGACTCATCTAGGGAGAGCCTAGTCAGACACTGAAACAAACCTTGAACCAAGGGTCAAATTCAAAGAAGTTTTATTTATTTTTGTATATTTAATTTGTTAATTATATAAGAGTAATGGCTCCCTATTTTAGCTGCATTTGTTTCATAATTTATTGCTTTATTAATATGTTTGATGAATATAGATTCTGTTATTTTTCTGTGTGTACTATTTGAGGTTGTATTAAATTGAATGTATGTCTGTTTACAATGCTATGGTGGACTAGGGTTGTTTTATTGTCTATTTAAGTATTTTTTGAATTATTAAAATTTTGGTTTATTATTTTCAATAATGAACCATTGTGATCGAGCCAAAAATTCAAAAACTTAACCTCCTCTCAAAATTTGATGTTTTACGTTTCAGGATAAGTAGAATTCGAAAAACGAATAAAATGTTTTTTTGTCTGTCCACCGTACGCCGTCCGCGCATTTTCTCCGAAACTACTTTACCAATTTTTTTTCAAATTTGGATTTAAAATTGAAGCCAAATTAAATAATCAGTAAATCAAAGTAAATTTTGTATTTTCTAATTACTGATTTTAGTTCGTTAGTCAGTTGGGTGTAATGAGTTTTATCTGTTGAATAAAGTCATCTAGTTCTATGACACTTCGATCTTGGTCTGCGTTTTTCCTTTAACAAGATACGAATATGCTGTTGCAAGTTAGTCTTTTGTAAAATGTTAATCTTACTGTTAAAGGTTTTATTATTTATACTGCCTGTTATTGATGTTGTAAGTTTTTCTATGGCACCATTAATGTCATATTTTTCATATCATGAAATTTGTCCCAGTTTACTCGTCCTTTAATCAATATGGGAGATGGTGGTTTAGGAGCATAGTTTGAATTTAATGTAAGCAGTACTGAACTATGGTATGAAGAAAGGTCTTCAAGGGATTCAATTGTGGTATGGTATCATGTGTTATAGAACACTAAGCTACTGTGGATAAAGAAATCAAGAATATCAGGACTACGGTTAGGATCTGTGGACCAGTAGGTAGGAGAATTGGGGAAAAGGAGGTGAAAACGTTAGGAATTGACTGCAGACAGCAGGGTTCGGCCACGAGAATTTGTGGTTCTGAAATCCCATTGTTGGTGCTTGGCATTTAAGTCTGCACCCAAGATGAAGTGATGTCCTAAGGTGTCCAGGAGAGAACTTAATTGGGAAAAAGATTACAATCTATACCGACAGTCAGGCAGCAATAGGTGCTCTAAACAATTATGTGTATTCAAAGGTTGTTATGGAATGCAACACAGCACTTAACAAACTGACTGAGCGCAATAGAGTTGCAGTGGAATGGGTGCCCGGTCACTCGGGCTTACTAGGCAACAAAGAGGCAGATAAACTAGCCAGATTGGGCTCAGATACCATTCCCATAACTCCTGAACCTGTTTGTGGAGTGTGGAGTTGTCTGTGTCAGCCTTAGTACTGCCAAAAGTAGGATTAGGGAGATTTATGGGAACATGTTAAAAAGATACTGGACTGAGAAACAGCGACATTCGATGCTGATCCTTAAAGGTCCATGTGAAAAAAGAAGCAAACTGCTACTGAGTATGCAGCTTAAGAGTGCAGAGCAGCTCTTAAAAAGCTTACAGCGATCTACACAGGCCACTGTAAGTTAAATTACCAGATGTTCAATCTTCGAGTAACGACAAATCCGCGATGCAGATTCTGTCAAGAGGAGAATTAAACAGCCTTTCATATTGCGTGTCGATGTGATAGATTCGCAAGGCTGAGGCTGGAACTATTTGGGGAGGAACGAATGGAACTCCCCAGTAGATATGAGATGGTCAATCCAACCAGCATACTAAGATACGCGGAAGCGGCAAAAATAACGTTTTGATAATAAACGAATAACTTAATTGGCGCACAATAGATCCTTCAGGGGTCGATGTGCCCTGATTCAACATTAAAAAAAGCCCATTCATTGTTGGTGCCTGGCATTTAAGTCTGCACCCAAGATGAAATGATGTCCTAAGAAGTCCAGGAGAGAATTGAATTGGGCATTGGATATGGATAGTTTAGAAGAGCAATATGCTGATGCAAGGGTAACCGGAAATGAGAAGGTTTTTATTACTATAGCGGTGGATTGTATGAAATCTTGTATAGGTGATGGGCACAGGCGGATCTACGGAGGAGGCTTTCGGGCTGAGGCCCCCCCCCCCACCAAAATGGTAGAATATAACCATGTTTTACAGAGAAAAAATATTAAAAACTATCTCTTAAAGTATTCTTGTTCCTGTAATTACATTTAATAGAACTTCAGGAACCACTTAAACACCATTTCATAAAGGTAGTTAATTTCTTTCTTTTTTTTTCAAATTAATTTTTGTTATATGTATATGAAAAAAAAAATCTTTCGGGCTGAAGGCCCCCCCCCCCTCAAAATTAAATCCTGGATCCGCTAGTGGTGATGGGAGAGAAATTGGGGCACAATGACAGCAGTACCGGGATGTGCTCTTCCGTCACGGTGCTAAATACGATATGTCAGGTATTGTGGCATTTTGAAGAGCTGTGTAGTCGTTAGTCGAGTTTCAGTAATTAGTGCCATTTCAATGTTCTCGTCAAGTAATAATGCAGATAGTTCGACAGAATAAAAGTTAAATTTTAATTTCGAAGCGTTCTTGAGAATAGAAGGTAGTGCTAAAAATATTGATGGATGGACTTTATATTTGTCAAGTACCTATAGGTAGACTTGTTGTGTGATAAATACTATATTCATTGCTTTTAGTAATGTTTATGACTCTTTATTTATATGCTATTTATTATTATTTGCACTAAATTTAAATCGAGTTATTATAATCTCAAATCAACTTGAATCAAAGCACATCACTCTAGGTAACGCAACAAGAGTGTAGATAATTTAACACCTGATCAACTTAAACAGAAAATCAGAAATAATTTTAATCAAATAACCTAAAATGTATGTTTCTGAATCTAATTCTTAAAGGGGGTTTATTGTAATAGAATCTTTTTCAGCTGGTGTTTGTTACTTTTAATTTCCTATAAGATTTTGTGTGTGATGTGAGATTTAGTTTTTATCAACATTTATTATCAGTTTAACCACTATACTATGTAACTGCGCCGATTTTTCTAATGACATGTGTGGGTAGGTAGCCATATTATCTTTTTCTGTCCTGATGATCCCTGCATTGGTAAAATATTTGGGAGAATTGAGGCTTTTAGAACCATCAAATCTTAAGCTAACTTAACAATAACTG